CACATACTCGGCAATCTTTGCTGAAAAGTCTCCACAGCATGTGTATATGGAAGTTTATCCATCTTGAGATTTATTTATCATAAAAGGATTTGTTCACGTTTCAACTGCATGATGGATATCAAACTTTAGGATGGAATGCTCTCGTTGTACATCTGCATCAACGCTATTTCTGCCTCTGTTTTGTTGTTGTTGTTCCCATATGTATGACAATTATACTGAAGCAAACTCTGGGTTTGGACAATTGGGCTTGTAATATTGCACTTTGTACGTTGAACGGTTGATCCATTGATATAGTTAGATGAGGATGATGCTCATTTCATTCATGCCTCTCTGACTATGGATTTCCGTAATTTGTAAATATGGATGTTATTTCGCTCAATTTTAATATGCAGAACAGTTTGTTGAGCTCATTTGTCATTCGAAAAAGACACCCTCTTTTTGATGTCCTAGGCTTTCTTCTACACTGAAACTTATCAATGGAGACCACTTGCTCAGCTTTTATTATGTGTGCCCCTTTTGATAAATGGAAATCCAAGCTGTAGAATCCATCATCCTTTTCCCAAGCTCATTAAAGAATGTCATACCCCAGTTGTTTCTTTAGCACTTCTACGTACATTTGAAACTATGTAAAGAATGTTTCAGCGAAGCAGGAAACTGCCATAATCCATGTAACATGCATACTGTTTCAGCCTGCTCTATTAATTGTTCCAGTAAATTAACTTCAATAGGCTTGTTATACTTTCATAATCTTCTCTTCTCTTGTTTCAACTTTTAGACCCCCCCAAAAAAAAAAAAAAAATCTAGCTTCAGAATTCGGCATCAGATTTGTATACATCCTGGTGCATTACATACATGAAATTTTAAGTTACCACAAGGGATGCCAGAGTGAAGGATATAGATAAATTTACCAAATAGAAAAGCATTATCATAAATATTCACTTAAACAACAAAACAAAAAGAATATTACTGCAAATCTCGTAAATTAGATTTGTCTGCGGGGTTGGTGGCGTGGAGGCATCACTATGACAAAAATGATTGTAATATCTTACAGTATAAAATAAATTGAATTGAAAGTTAAACATTTTCAAACTATCCATTGGGTTTTTTTCTCTTGCTTCTCATGTATCCGAATGACTATTTTCACAATTGCAACAGATAAAATGGTCCACAATCCTTCCCTGAAGAAAATTTTTTCCTTCGTAGAACACCTTATAGAACCAAGTGTAGTAAAAAAGAATATGAATCCTTGTTCTGCAATACACGTTGTGCTTGAAGTGTTACGTCAATTAATTAGGCGTTGTTTCTTCCAGTAGGAATTCTGACACAATTTTGACGTCTGAATAAGGAGACATGCCACAAAACAATCTTTTGGAGACTATTAGCTGCATGCTGGAATTTCATCTCGTGAATGCTATGGGACCCCTCCATATATCACTGATAAGTTGAGGGCGAAAGGTTTTGTCTTTCTTTCTCAATTGTTTTACATTTTTCTGGGTGCTAGTCCCACTTATTGCTTGTATTATTGGTTACTAATTTGGTCGTGCTTGAATACCTTTTTCCTGTGAGTAATGTGTGCTAGCAAAGAGTAAGAACTTCAAGAAATAGCTGCAACGTGTTGGGGACGTTGCTGCTGTGACATGCTTCAAAAGGGTTTGGTATACAAGTCTGGTGCAGTCACTTGTAATCGACTTCCCAGTATTTGTCTCAACTATTTAGCTTTAGGTATATAGTCAGATTCTGAAACAAGTGCCAACCAGGTTTAATTGAGGATGATGATTGGCAAGCCTCAATCTTGCAGAATTTTTTTTGTTTAAAGTAGTTTGTATGAAAGAGTTTTGAGTTACTCTAATTCTTCTAGCTGAACTCTAAAACTTGATAAAAGTTTGTTATCAGCTTCCACCCCACACTCCACTCCCACAAAAATAAGAGATTAAAGAAATGATTGAGCTAGCTGGAAGAGCAATTAATGTCAAAAAATTCTTAACAGCTAACATTTTTACTAAGGAAGTTCATCATTTGCAGTTGAAAATTTCCTTTCGCACCTATTTCTAATACTGAATTTCGTTTCTAAGGGTACTAGTATAGGATTTGCGTGATTACCAAACTAGATGTAAGTCATTCAAGACCTGTGATTACTGTTTGAGGTAGAAGGTAGCCAAAGACAAAAAAATTAGCAGAACAGAGATGGTTGCAACTGCAATTATTGAATGTTAAACAATTGCTTGTTCACCTTAATCCAGGCGAGAGCACTCCACCAATTATGGATAAGCTAAATGCTATTCGTTCTAGCTAAGGCAGCAAAACAATCCCTTTTTCTTTGGACTGATGCACAAGGTGATAATGTTCAAGAAAAGCTTATATCCAAGTCAAGTTTGTTCTTGGTGTTTTTTTATTTTCTTCAATTGTCGGGTTTTGGGGAGTATTTCCTATACCTTAGGGGTGTTGTATTAGAGAATGTAGATCAGCATCATCCAAGTGAACTTCGAAGCCCCTCACAGCTGGTATATTTTGGCTGTAATAGGCCATACATCCATCCTCGTTCATCAGGGAACTATACAAATGGAGACAAGAAAGTCAATAGGCACTAGCAGTTAGATTATGAGTATCGAAGTGGTACAGTAATAATTGCACGTGACCCACAAAGTGATAGGGATTTTCTTTGTTCTTGAGATGATTTTTTTTTTTTGGAATTCTTGACTTTCTTTGCATGAACGCCCGTGACCGACCGTGGCTCGTGCCTAAGTTGATATGGACATAGGCTTTCTCAATTATCTCTCCGAAGGATCGTATACTTCATTCTACTCCATACAATAGAAAGGGTTCACGGGCTATTACTGGTTTCTTCTGTTATCTCCAGACCCCAGTGCTATTTACACATTCTGATCATCTTTTCCTAGGAAAGTTTTGATATTTCCAAAGTTAAATTTTTAGCTTTTGATGTGTGGCTATGCATTGCCTTGCATGCATGCCATTTGGTCTGAAGTAACTGCAGTTTGTTACTCCTACTTTTGTTATGGCAACAGACGCTTGATAGAACAATCTTGCTGCCTGTTCCAGCAAGCTGTTCACACTATTCTGTCTGAGCCATGGTTCGCAATATCGGCCAATATCGATACGCATTGGCTGAGCCGTAATCGGAACGGAGGAGATTGGTACAATACCAATTTTCAAATCGCGGATATGGTACGACTCGCTTTGAATCGGTTGATATTGACCGATTCGAATCCGTGATGCATGATATCGATCTATATATCCGAGTCAACTCTGAGTTGACTCGGATATTTTTTTAAATTGTGTCTTTTTTGATATTTTCTAATTTTAGTAATTTTTTCAAAATTTTTTGAAACTTTCATGTGCTATAATGTGTGTATCACCCGATATTCAACCAATATACCGCGACGGATGTAGAAAAATCGTGACCGCGATGCGACCGCGACACCCATGATGGAGAACCATGGTCTGAGTGGGACAGAAGTGTGGCGGTGACACCAATTAATGAACCATGATCATTGATATTTCCTTGTGATTAGTTTTAAAAAAAACTTATAACCTGAAAATACTCGTAGATCGTGGTTTTTTGCTTGCGGACATTCAAATTTGTTATGTCGGCATACAGAAGAAGCATAATGTTTTAAATCAAATTGCTACACCAAATGACATATTGTAGCAGTACGTACAAGTGGTTTTCAGCATATTCCTTAAGAAGAGGTCCCCTTCCAAAAAAAAAAAAAAAGGGACTGGCCCAATTATTCTTCCCAACATTAATATGCTTGTCATTGTCCAAAGAAGAAAAGCTAAATGAGAATGTCCCTCCATTTTGAGCCATAGGAACTTGAAAGTTGGAAGTGAAATAAATTCAAAGTTCTCTCTCTTTTTTTTTTTAACCTTCCCCTCTCCCCTAATCCCTCCCTTCCCCCAACCTGGCAGCTAGCTTAGCTTCGAGCCCTGGTTTGCCAGGCATGGTGCAAAGCCCCTGGCCAACAACAGCCACAACGGTTGTTGGTTTCAGAGATTACCGGATAAGGAACCATGTACATGATGTTCAGTTTATTGCCATTCATGTAGTTATGCGCAGTAAGAGTGGAAGCTTCTCATGATCACCTCTGTTCAGTTAGACTATCCCGCAGGTCATTATTAGGCCTACTATTGCATGGTATAACTATAACTTTTTCTTTTCTTTTCCCCCCTTTCAAAAACGGCAACTTTGCAGTTTGCATTCAAGACATGAAGCCTAAGTAAAATGAGTCAATGGCTTTACTGTTTACCGTGCATGCATCATGTTTCCACTGTACACATCCTTCCAAGGTTCTCTCAACTACTACTTGCTTACAGTACAATTCAATGACTATGTTGTCCCATCCTTCTTCTGCAGCTTTGATGAAAAAGATTTTGATTGCTTCTGCAGCGTTTCTATTTTCTATACCCGTATTTCCATTCCTGCGGTCCGAGAATATAGAATCACTGAAACGATGTTCTTGAGTAGCAAGTACTTGATGAATTTTGGGCCATCAGTAAGTCGCCATTAGTTTCTTTGTACAAAACAAAAGAAGACGCGAGAAACTGAAAAACAAAAATGTGAATCTACATTTCCATACACTCCTGTTCTCAAAATGATAAACTACACATCCATAACACTCAATCATAAAGGGCAAATTAATGACACATTGTAGCTATGCCAGTGCCAAGACTTCAAAAAGAAAAGAAAAGAATTGTTTCATAACTAACTTGAGAAATCTATTGAGATAAGCAAGAAAATAACGTAATTAATCAAGTTTGTGCATTTTATGGTTGAGTGCAGCAGCCCGAATCGCGTCACCTACCTACTCGGTTTAGTGCTTGATATCAATGAGAAAAATTGCCCCCATTCCCAGGGAAAAAAAAGAAAAAGAAAAATAAAAAAATGGGTATTTCAGTAATTCAACGAATTCCACCGTTTCTGTATTATTCTGCTCAACCATTTATGCTTGCCCGCCCCTGCCTATAAATTGATTCCCCTTTTCGTCCGTCTTGCACGCTCTCTCTCGTGCACTGTCATCAACATTCCCCTTATCCTTCATTCAGCTGTGGCTGAGGCTAAGTGCCGAAAACATGAAGTACTTAGCTACCGCTGCATTGTTCCTCACTTTTCTCCTTTTCTCAACTACTGCTGGAGCATCTCATGATCCTTGTGCTTCCTCAAAATCAGACCTCTCAGTCATTCACATCTATGGCAAATGCTCCCCCTTCACCCCTCAAACTAACCCGGCGCCTGCACCTGCCGCCGCATCATCATGGCTCAACACAATTCTGAACATGGCCTCCAAAGACCCCCAAAGGGTTGCTTATTTGTCAAGTTTAGTGACAGCTAAGAAGGCTACTAAAGCCACCTCCATCCCCATTGCCTCCGGCCAAAATGTCTTGAACGTCGGCAACTTTATCGTCCGGGCCAAGATTGGACTCCTGCCCAGCTCCTGTTCATGGTGCTGGACACCAGCAATGACGTTGCATGGGTCCCATGCAGCGGCTGCACAGGCTGCTCCTCTACCGTATTTTCTCCAAACACTTCCACTAGTTATGCGGCTTCCGACTGTTCCTTGCCGGAATGTACTCAAGTCCGCGGACTCTCTTGCCCGACCACCGGTGCCGGTGCTTGCTTATTCAACCAGTCCTACGGCGGAGATTCGTCGTTTTCCGCTACGCTGTCGCATGATTCTCTGACGTTTGGGCCTGATGTGGTTCCGAATTATGCTTTCGGATGCATAAATGCAGTCTCCGGTGGGTCAATACCGCCCCAAGGTCTGTTGGGTTTGGGCCGAGGCTCCTTGTCCTTGCTCTCTCAATCCGGCTCACTATACTCCGGGGTGTTCTCGTACTGCTTGCCCAGCTTCCGGTCATACTACTTTTCTGGATCACTCAAACTTGGGCCGGTGGGCCAGCCCAAGAGCATCAGAACCACCCCACTACTCAAGAACCCACGGCGGTCCTCCTTGTACTATGTCAACCTGACGGGTATTACTGTGGGTAAGGTCCGGATACCCATTGCTCCGGAGCTCCTGGCATTCGACCCAACCACAGGAGCGGGTACAATAATTGACTCGGGCACGGTTATAACCCGATTCATCCTACCCATTTATACCGCATTGAGGGATGAGTTTAGGAACCAGGTGAAAGGCCCACTTAGTTCCTTGGGTGCATTTGATACGTGTTTTGCGGCTACAAATGAAGACGTAGCGCCCCCGTTACGTTCCATTTTCAGGGATTGGATTTGGTTTTGCCGCTGGAGAATAGTTTGATACACAGCAGTTCAGGTTCCTTGGCTTGTTTGGCAATGGCAGCCGCTCCAAATAATGTGAATTCCGTGTTGAATGTCATTGCCAATTTGCAGCAGCAGAATCTTCGGATTTTGTTTGACACAGCCAACTCTCGCCTGGGAATTGCTCGTGAACTCTGTAATTAATTAAGTAGACCCTAGTCTTCTCAGCATTGGCAGCCCGGTGGTGATTTTAGACTCTTGCATTTTTTTATTTGGACCTTTTGTGCTTTGTAACTTGATTATGTTCTGTATGCTTGGTTTGATTAAATAGCAATTGTATTGGTACATGCATTACCATTCAAAGTGGTAGTACATTTTGATTTGAGGCTCTAATAGTTGACTCGTGATTCTTTTTTTTTTTTTTGTCACAACGATAACATTTGTATAATCTACTCTAATTTAATCTAAAAAAAGGAAAAGTCAACCGGAATTTTCCGTCGGAGAAAGCCACAATTAAGTGGCAAGGTGAGAGGTCAATCATTCTTCTAAGAATTGAACCCTTGACCTCCTATCCGCACCAGGACAAGACATTTACCAACAGCCTCTTTGAGCCACAATTAAGTGGCAAGGTAAGAGGTTAAAGATTCTCCCAAGAATTGAACCCTTGACCTCCTAACCCCATCAAGACGACATAAATGTCTTGGCGGTACCAACAACCTCTTTCAGCCCAAGAGGCTGTTGGTAGTTGACTTGTGATTCACGTCAGTGATGAGCCGCAAAGGGCTGCAAGAAAGGCCGCCTCCTATTCCCCTATTTGACGAACGCCTAAGTTTCGAACTCACACAAAGCTTCGTAGGAACAATGTCCACCAGACACCCTATGCCTGAGCTTTTGCAGCCGTTTGCTGTCTGTTAGAGAGGCAGCAAGAATTGTATCACTAGGGAAAATTTCCTAAACATTATACATTTACTAGGCCTAATTTTCAAGCCAAGCTCATGAAAGGAAAAAAGAATTGATTCCTACTGAAAAATGAGTTACATTAAAAATTTGACTCATCCTCTGCAAACTTCATCAAAAACCTCAAAATTGAAGACTGAAGATCTTCACCGTCTACACCATTTTTTGTTTCAAAAACACCCTTCATGACCCGAGTATATAATCTTTCGAGCTGTGGAATGCCACAGGCTTTTGTACGATCTATAAAAAGCTGCTTAATGGTCTCAACTTTATCGGATAATTCTCCATCTAACATTGGAACATCTTGCTGGGAAGTGCACCCACTGGTAAGATCCGAACTTTCATGCTGAGTGCCATCCGTCACCAGGTTGTCTGGCCTTTGCTGATCCAAGCTATCAGCTTCATATTCTTCAGATGACTTTGGTACTACTGGATCTAGAGGACCCTCCTCTGCCACCAAAGCCAACATCATAGAAGGTCCAAAGTTAAGAAAAGGTAGAAGGATTTGCAACATTCACCAAATACTAGTACAGTAAAAATGAAATATATGACACGCAGAGAGGCTCAGTAAAAAGATTTTGAAAACTAATTGGTGACAAGATAGTACTAATCTGCCCCTACCACATCACCAATCACATCAGGCAGCAGCACATCCAAAGTGACTTCTTTTGTGATGTTTGTCACAATTGTGACGCTTTTAGGATGTCAAGGTAACTTGTATGCTCAAATTACGGATTTGGTACAAGTTTTCAAGTAGCCCTTGTTTCTAATTGGACCACATCAGTAGTCGACACTTGACAGTTGTAGAATACTCTGCTAGACAAACATATCTTTGGAAAATAGATTCCCACATATCCAACATCCATGTTGTCTATTAACCACAGATTCCTCAAGCACAAAAGGAGAATAAGTTAAATTGTAATATTAACAGCATACAACCTACCCAGAAAAAATACTAACAGCATACAAATAAAGAAAGGAACCAAAAATATCTTATACATAGCAAAACTCGAATTTTCTCCTTCAACTTGCTAGACATGGCTTGGTAACTGATTAACAGTAACTTCTTCGCAGATACATAATAACAGGCAAAGAATGCCCGTATCCTTGCACTGTTGACCAAACAAATAGCCAAATAAATATGAATACGAGAGGGGGAGGGAGGAGGGGAAGAGGAGGATGAGAGGATAGACAGGCAGACAGAAAAAAAACTGATGCGAACATTTCAATATCAAAACATAACATGGTTCTTCTATACTCAAATGATGTTTGACAACATTGTGTAATTAATATATCAAGCCCCCTCCCCCTGAAAGATTAATAAATTCCACATGAATGACAAAATCCAGGAATTACAAATACTTTGGATTATAAAGTATCAAACCCTCCCGTCAAAGAAGTTAAAGGTATCTATATTCATTTTCCAATGGCATTCAAGGGAAAGGCTGAAAGCCCTTTTGCCAGGTTGATTGCAATTTGCAATTTATCTTTTCTTCTAACTACAATCTATCAGAGTTCCAGAAGGTATCATGCTAAAATATTCACACAATATACTTACACACAAGCACATGCTGAACATAAGTACAAGCACATTATCTTGTTCCTTGATGAAGAAATCAAGATTTGGCAGATCCCTAGCAACTAACCATGCAGTAAACTGAGCGCCTTATTTTGAATCCAAGCCCATAATCACTGCTATATAATACTATGCAAACATATAACTTGAACACAAGAAAAAACAAGCAAAAAGAACCCTAAAACAATGAGAAATACTAGCTCATTTAACCTCAAAGTGATGATCCTAGTGATTTTGATCATATGAAGAGATGTGATCCATACCTATTTGTACAGATTCAACATGTTTCTTTGGTTTTTTCAGTGCTTCATAGCTCTGATCTAGATTAACGTCAGGCTGCACATTTCTAAGGCGAGCACTTGCTCTAGTCATAGTAGTACTCATCTGTACAACAGGAGTTTGAGGCAAAGCAGAGTCCACAAAATCATCAGGTATCGGCAATGGACCCCCTCGTCAGCAATTTTCTCACAGAATGAAACCAGTGCAGGATCCATTTGAGATAGCATCCCATGCACCTAAAAACCAAATACATTTTAGAACAAATTTGAGGAACTAAAGCTCCCAAAGAGGTAAAAAAAAAAAAAGACATCCAACATACTGCATCTCGAAGTTCATAAGCTCGGCTGACGATCCTGGCCCCATTGTAATCATCTCCATTGTACTTCTGCATCAAGTAAGGAAACACATCTTATTGCTGCCTCACCCAAAAACTCTTACTATTGCACTTAATGCGATAGACTCTGCTTTCTGAAATCCAAAATCTAGGGTTTCTTAATTCCAGGTAAACCCAATAATTAAGCAGGCAGCTACTCCCTCGCTGGTTAGTTAACTAGAACAAGGTCTGGACAGAATGAAATAATAAACTAGAAATCAACATGCAGTAGGTCATCCACCATGCAAAAAGTTGTTTTGAAAAGTTTCTCCTGCGATTGCTTCCCCATAGTGAGCTCTTTTCTCAGCATAAAGCCAAAAGTATAAAAGCCAACAATGGGCCTTATGACAAGCTTGATTGGCCATTTTCCCAGACGGTAACTTTAGCAGAACTTATAGGTCAAAACAATAGTTTCTGTACCTTACAATAGCATTCTAAGATACTGCAAAACTAGAAAGAGCAAAAAGAGTCAATTCAGCAAAAAGAACATACAGATTTAAAGGGTTCTGCATTTGCACACAAGTAGTGCCTCACAATTATGTAAGTCTTGATCTTTATCTCTGAACTTTATGAAGAGAATCTCATTTTGTCCTCCAAATTTACTATTAGGCATCTAAGTACTACAAGTTGGTTCAATTATCCATGTCGGTCCACCTCTATAACATCAACAGGATTTGATCAAAAAGGTTAACTTGCCAACAGCTATGAAGCCAAATCATGGCATATCCCTAAAACCAGTTTTTTTAAATATACAACTAAGAATCAATAACTCCAGAAGGATTATCTAAGTATTTCAAGCATTTGAACAAGTTAAAAGGCTACTATGGTCAATATATTGATAAGAGTTTAGTTCTTATAGATAAATCCAATGTATAGCAATATCAGGGGGAGATAAAATTGATAGCAATTTGTATGAGAAATCGAAAAGTTCCAAAATGTTTAGATGAAATGTAATATTTACCCTCCTTAACAAAGGTAAGTTTTTCAAAACGCCACAATAAAGAATGGACATGTTTGGTTTTTATGCAGAAACCAGTTATGCATCTAAATCCTGCTTAAAGAAATTGAATTTAGTAATCCACATAAAAAATCCAAACCAACAGTATGTACACAAACGACAAAGAAAAATTTGTTTAACAAGTTTCTACCTTGGCATTGGTCAAAATGAGGTCGAAATCCTCCAAAAATGCTTTACAAGTTATGTACTTTCCACTGTCCACACGCTGCAGCAACGTTGCCATGTCCATAGGGTTCTGGATGATTGAACGATAGTTTGGTGCATCCTCATCCATAACCGGATAATGGAAGGCACTAAAACGCTTATCATACAGAATTCTGCACCAAAATTAGTGCAGGTGACTTCATTGTGATACATGCAGTGCCAAAAGTAGATTGTCATTCTAATCACATCAGAAGCAACTTCAACCAAAAATGACAGCAACTAAAGGTCACATAAAAGTAGAAAAACATGATTCAAAAACACTAAGAAAAAAGTAACTCATGCATTCAACAGAAAAGAACCATTCCCACACACCTGTTACAGATATCACGTAGACACATCCGTAGTCGGCGAAGAGCATGTCCCTGCGTTTCTGCTTTGGCCTTTAACTCAGAGGCCTTTGGTCCAGTAGCCACTTTTGGTGCCTTTGAAGTTCAGGAAGGGACTCAGATCTACGGGATTTATTCGCCACATCCTCCAATTGGATTGACAAGGCAGCTTTAATCAGGCGGTCGAAAAACAGAGATCTATCTTCAGTGGATGGTCCACTTAAATGCAGGCTGTGTCCAAGAAAACAGAATGAATTCACAATTTATTGGTAAGGAAATCAGGTCCTGAGGTAAGAATAGCAAAATCAACAGGAACATTGTATAAGATTTTGGCAACAGAGAAATTGCTATACAAATACAATGATTCCATATCGAAGCTGTAAACAGTATTAAATGCATAATGCACAGCTTTTCAAACAAAAACTTTTTATTACATAGAAGCATCTAATTAAAAATTCATAATGCATAAAGAAGATCGTGACATGGCCACTATTACAAAATTGAAAGCTGGAAGCAGATTAGCGAAAAAAGCAAACCTCATGTAAGAAAAGAACAGAGGTGAAACTTACAGGCTGGTAACAGTATATTGGATATTCAAGTTTATATCAAGCAAATCCCAACAATGAGGAAAGCCAAATATGTAATTGTCGAGAGAGAGAG